AAATGAAATATAAATGTGTTTTTTGAAGGAAAAAACGACATAAGGAACTATGGAGTTGTGAGATCTCTGCCAACCAGAGCCTCTACTTGTGGGGGAAACTTCTGAAGCAATTGGAGTCAGGACTCAGAGGAGAGCTGGAGCTTTGATGGCAAACACTGACGGTTTATTTGGAGCTTCGGCCGGAGAACTCACAAGACATGTCACGGGCCACGAGTTGACCACACGGTTGAGATGCCACCATCAATTCTGCAGAGCCCTCCTGTAGCTCCAGGTTTGAACTAGTTCAGAGTGTAATAATCAACATTCTTCAATAGATAGACTAAACAGCTGAGGACACTGAATCACATTTGTTGTCGCTTATGGCTCGGGGTCATCTACACCCCGAGAAGGATGTGTTCCAGGTGTCCCACAACAATAACTATCTCTGACAGAGAGTTGCCCGGTCACAAACTGGTAACAACAATATGCTAGGGCAGCCCCTCCTTAAAGGAGATAGCATGCTGCCCAAGGTTGGGCATCTGCGTTAGAGGGCGAAGGAGGACATGCAGGGCAAATTATTCCCTGACACTTTTTATTTTATTAAATGTCATCCAAATTAAATATACATCGAAAAGAAAACATGATTGAAAGAAAACAACTGTACTGTATGTGAAGAAGACGCCTTCATCACAGTTGGCATAGGGGCATGGTAAAAGGCACACTGAGGGAAACACATTAATAACTTAGCTGGACATTGATAAAATAAAACCCAAGTCATTATTTGTTCAAGACCGCTTTATTTGAAGTCATACATAACAATGCTGTGCCAAAGTAACCTGCTTACCCTCTCCTTCAAGGTTGTGAAGTCCAAACAGAGCACCAGAAAACTGCAGCCTTAAGCAGAGGCTCAATCAGTGGAAACACCTGTGCTCAATTGGAACATACCATGTAGTGCATGGGCACGGGTGACAATTTTCTTCCAAGTGTAAACGTGTTATTGTTTAAGGCTTCTGTGGTCAGAAATGTAGAATATGTTGACCTATTTGATTTATTGTGTTTAATTAGTTTGAACTACATTTTGAATACGTTTGTAGATGATAAGAATAACAGTAATTAAGGGTATAAATAGTGGATTGTCCTATGGGGAGGGGCTTAACATATATAAACCTCTGGCCACAAGTGTTTTGACGTTAGTCTGACTGTGGCTGTAGAGCAGACGGGTACCAGTAGAGCAGACGGGTACCAGTAGGGCAGACGGGTACCAGTAGGGCAGACGGGTACCAGTGGAGCAGACGGGTACCAGTGGAGCAGACGGGTACCAGTGGAGCAGACGGGTACCAGTGATATTTCTTTGACCTGTACATATATATTGAGGTTTGTTTTCTTTCTGTAGATCCTTGTTCCTTTGTGTTCTTTCAGCATTTTGGCTGTTAATAAAAGCACCTAAGGAAACATTCCTGCCCACTGCTATAACACTGTACAACAAATCACCTCTGGCTGGAAGAGAACTCTCTGCTCCATAGTTTCTCTAGAAATAAAACCACGTTGTATATTTTACTCATATATAATCTGTTCAATATTTAATACTCCATATTCCATGTCATATATTTTTGAATATATATTTGTATATATAATATCTTCATATATATTTTCTATTTTCTTTTTCTTTCTATTCTTGTTTATTTTGTAAAATGCCTTGTCTTTTATGCTGCTGCAACAAAAACAATTTCCCAAATTGGGATCAATAAAGTACACCTCATCTCATCTCATCTGTCCACTCCCTCCAGAAGGTGGCAGTAGTGAAACTCCAGCTGCCGTTAAACCACCAAAGAAGAAGAAAACAAACCATCGGGCGGGTTTATTTTGGTTTGTTGATATTTCACAAAGCATTTATCTGAATAAACGGTAAGAAGAAACACTTAACTATTAAAAACACATTTGTGGTTGTGTGTACAGCTTCATAAAGTGATTCTTACCGTAACAACTCTTCAGGGACACATTTCCCCCACAGCTTGCATTGACGCCAAATCCCTTTTAAAGAATCTACACGTTTTAAACTAACTCTGTTTTAACATTAGAAAGAAAATACAACATGCTTTGTAGTCTTCATCAACTCATCTTCATTCGGCTTGTGTTCATTACAGCACAACTCAAGTTCTTGTTATTTTTATGTTTTACTACATGTAAATTCAGTCTGGCTTTTAATGTGTGATTGTTGTTGTATTGCTTGATTTTAATGTGACTTTAACTATATTTATTTGTTGTCCTTGTTTGCCACTACCTCTGTAAAAGCGCTTACAAAATAAATCTATTAGTAATCTATTATTATGTAAAAACATACAACTGTGCAATATATACTTAAATACTAGGATATATAGTATTTGCTCCCGTCACCCTGCATTTCATATTGTTTCTAATAATGCTGCTTCTTATCCTTTCAGGTGTTTGAACCTGAACTCCTCGTTTCAGATGCATCGCTGGGATTTGTCTCCGTTCTCAGTGACTCCAGCTGCCAGCCTGTTGGCCAGATGTGTCTCCAAAGATATTCTGTCTCAGGTCAGAGCTTATATTCTTTCATCTAGTCAGTAACAGAAAGAAACCAGCATTAGAGAAACCCACCCACCTGATGAACTCTACAGGTTTGAACGCCTGGATCAATGCATCCATAGTTGATGGTCAAATCAAAACATGAGGTCCAAACAGTGTCTCGCTCTGTCAGCACCTTGGAAATATTGTATATAAGTGAGCCTTAGTTTGAAGTTACTGCCAATGTTTCCGGTTAAGAAGTCACGGAAAAACACAACATTTAAACACAAAACGATCGCAAGAAAACATTAAAACCACAAAAAGAAGCAAAACAACCCAAAAAGACACAAAGCTACTAACAACCTAAACGAGACACAAAAGAACCCAAAGGAGATGCAGATTGAACACACAGATGTCCCTTTGAACCTCAGTCATGTTCCCACAGAATTAACACAACATGAATGTCTCTACCTGTCCTCAGGGGGAAATAGACTCCGCCTCCTCCAGGCTGAGCCCCGTCTTCTCCAATCAGCTGCACGAGGCTGAACAGCGAATCAGAACGCAGAGACAGCTGGACCAGGTACGCTTCACTCTGACGTCCCATGACCTTACCTTACACTTGTTTTAGGATGCTACGTTTTAAACCTGCAGAATATGTCGTTCCTAAAGTAAGAGCTGTTTCTCTGATCAAACATCAATGTCTTAGTTTGAACTCCCTTGTTGTTGTTTCTCCTGCAGCTGCAGCTTGACATGGATCTGCTGAAGATGGAGAAGAAGAGCGCTGACGTCACAAACAGTTTCTACCTCTGTGAGTGTTTCTATTTTTAAGCAAAACATGTAAAGCATCAGTGTGTTGATGTATTGTTTCAGCCACACATCTCATGTGCAGACTGAACCAACACTATGATCATTTTATATATATATTTATTACATGGCTTAGTTGAATACTCGATTCTGATTGGTCAATTCAGAACACGTGACGCGTTGTTAATCCAGAACAGACAGACCACTGTCAAGGACTTATTGACCGTTGTTAAGGACGCTCACATCTGCACAAAGAAGTCCGTTCGATTTAACTGTATGCAGTTTGGCCGAAAAGCAGTTTGCTTTTCTAACTGACAAGACAAGAGCGACAAGAAAACAGCGGAGAAGTAACGGGGCAGAAACCCTCCTTTTTACGCAGCGGTCCAGACATAGACATCAAACGGCGACACATATTCAGTGTGCAGTTCCTTTGGCATTAGGGCAGGGGTATCTAGATCCTTTCCAAGGTTTGACATCATGGATTGAGCTACTTTTAAAGCAAGCAACGATGTTTTCAAATCTGTAATCAAAAAGCTCCTCAAACACTATCGAAGCAGTTCCTGCTGTTGCTACGTTAGTTCAAACGGTAACAACAAACTATTTTTCTTAGCGGATGCATGTCACATTATCCCTTACATATATGCTGTATGATTAGATCATTTAAACAAGTCTATCTTTGTGTGTGTGCAGCTCGGAGGTTCCAGATGCTGCAGATGTTCTGCGGCCACCTGCAGGATCTCCTGAAGGAGCAGAACAGTCTGAGGCAGCGCCTGATGAAACCTCTGGGTCGCACCAACCTGCCCGTTCAGGCTCACCTGCAGAGGTAACTGTTGGGGAAACACTTTCCTCGGCCCATAACTTTGACCCAGTTGATCAGTTTGCCCTCACTGAGCACACGCCTACACCTGGAGCTGCTCTCAGCGTCTCCTTATTCCTGCCTGATAGAGGTGTTTCGTCTTGTTATGCACAATGTTGATTCTTCTCTCAGAACCAGCTCAACACATGGGTCTGGGGTAGAGGGTCTGGGGTAGAGATCTGCAGAACATGTCTTGTGAATTCTCCGGCCGAAGCTCCAAATAAACCCTCAGTGTTTTCCATCAAAGCTCCTGCTCTCTCTCTGAGTCTCCATTGCTTCAGAAGTGTTCATCACAGTAACATCGCTCTGACTCAGAGGTAGTTTCCATGTTGTCTTTTGGATAGATAGCTGGAAACACAGAAAGAGACCGGTTTGCCCCCAGCTTCAAATGTCCTCTGTGCGTCAGGTTCGTGGTGGACGTGTTGAAGATGCTGCTGGACTTCATCCAGACTCTGGAGGATAAGCTGACGTCGGTGCGCTGCAGTCCGTCCGCCATCTACCGCCTCGCTCAGCTGGTCAGTCACATGGTCCTACTTTAATATCACACATGTACTTATCAAAATAAACCCATTTAACCCTCTTCTTCTCTCTGTATCAGAACAAGTCTCTCGCTCAGCTTCTGGCTCATGTGGCGGATGTGGAGAGTTTGTCCAATCAGGTCCTCCAGAGGAAGGAGGCAGCAAGCAGAGTGACTGTTCTGCAGGATGATCTTCCTCCTCCTCCTCCTCCTCCTCACCTTAACATGCATACTGTTTCTGAGTTTTTAATATAATTGTGTCAAATATTGCTATTTGTTTTAATGTTTCAATAAAATCTAATGTTGGTAGAAACTTTTCAGGAGTGACTTTGTTTCTTTAAATTACAGTTAAAAATAACCTTATTCTGGATTTATGTTTAATTGTTTAGATAACTTAAAAGAGATGCCAAGGTTATTTACTAGACACTTATTTATTACATTTCTGAACCTCACTAGCAACTTCATCAGACAACAACCCTTCAATCAGGAGAGACGGTGTTGATAAGAATACATATTTATAGCCAGGAATACACAAATGAATGTAATGGAGTTTTGGCGATTAGGCCCCGTTGTGCAGGAGTATCATTCGGGAGGGGAGAACCGATCCGATGAAAGCCCCCGGGGTCTAGACCCTGGTGGTGGTGAATGGATAGTTGGGGTCGGTCTGAAGGGGAGGGGCTTAGCTTGACTCTGGTGTTGGTGAATGGATAGTTGGGTTCGGTCTGATGGGGAGGGGCTTAACTTGACCCTGGTGGTGGTGAATGGATGGTTGGGTTCGGTCTAAAGGGGAGTAGCTTAGCTTGACCCTGGTGGTGGTGAATGGATGGTTGGGGTCGGTCTGAAGGGGAGTGGCTTAGCTTGACCCTGGTGGTGGTGAATGGATGGTTGGGGTCGGTCTGAAGGGGAGTGGCTTAGCTTGACCCTGGTGGTGGTGAATGGATAGTTGGGTTCTGTCTGACGGGGTGGGGCTTAGCTTGACCCTGGTGGTGGTGAATGGATGGTTGGGGTCGGTCTAAAGGGGAGTGGCTTAGCTTGACCCTGGTGGTGGTGAATGGATGGTTGGGGTCGGTCTGAAGGGGAGTGGCTTAGCTTGACCCTGGTGGTGGTGAATGGATAGTTGGGTTCTGTCTGAAGGGGAGTGGCTTAGCTTGACCCTGGTGGTGGTGAATGGATGGTTGGGGTCGGTCTGAAGGGGAGTGGCTTAGCTTGACCCTGGTGGTGGTGAATGGATGGTTGGGGTCGGTCTGAAGGGGAGTGGCTTAGCTTGACCCTGGTGGTGGTGAATGGATGGTTGGGGGTCGGTCTGAAGGGGAGTGGCTTAGCTTGACCCTGGTGGTGGTGAATGGATGGTTGGGGTCGGTCTGAAGGGGAGTGGCTTAGCTTGACCCTGGTGGTGGTGAATGGATAGTTGGGTTCTGTCTGACGGGGTGGGGCTTAGCTTGACCCTGGTGGTGGTGAATGGATGGTTGGGGTCGGTCTAAAGGGGAGTGGCTTAGCTTGACCCTGGTGGTGGTGAATGGATGGTTGGGGTCGGTCTGAAGGGGAGTGGCTTAGCTTGACCCTGGTGGTGGTGAATGGATAGTTGGGTTCTGTCTGACGGGGTGGGGCTTAGCTTGACCCTGGTGGTGGTGAATGGATGGTTGGGGTCGGTCTGAAGGGGAGTGGCTTAGCTTGACCCTGGTGGTGGTGAATGGATAGTTGGGTTCGGTCTGAAGGGGAGGGGCTTAGCTTGACCCTGGTGGTGGTGAATGGATAGTTGGGTTCGGTCTGAAGGGGAGGGGCTTAGCTTGACCCTGGTGGTGGTGAATGGATGGTTGGGGTCGGTCTGAAGGGGAGTGGCTTAGCTTGACCCTGGTGGTGGTGAATGGATGGTTGGGGTCGGTCTGAAGGGGAGTGGCTTAGCTTGACCCTGGTGGTGGTGAATGGATAGTTGGGTTCTGTCTGACGGGGTGGGGCTTAGCTTGACCCTGGTGGTGGTGAATGGATGGTTGGGGTCGGTCTAAAGGGGAGTGGCTTAGCTTGACCCTGGTGGTGGTGAATGGATGGTTGGGGTCGGTCTGAAGGGGAGTGGCTTAGCTTGACCCTGGTGGTGGTGAATGGATAGTTGGGTTCTGTCTGACGGGGTGGGGCTTAGCTTGACCCTGGTGGTGGTGAATGGATGGTTGGGGTCGGTCTGAAGGGGAGTGGCTTAGCTTGACCCTGGTGGTGGTGAATGGATAGTTGGGTTCGGTCTGAAGGGGAGGGGCTTAGCTTGACCCTGGTGGTGGTGAATGGATAGTTGGGTTCGGTCTGAAGGGGAGGGGCTTAGCTTGACCCTGGTGGTGGTGAATGGATGGTTGGGTTCGGTCTAAAGGGGAGTAGCTTAGCTTGACCCTGGTGGTGGTGAATGGATGGTTGGGGTCGGTCTGAAGGGGAGTGGCTTAGCTTGACCCTGGTGGTGGTGAATGGATGGTTGGGGTCGGTCTGAAGGGGAGTGGCTTAGCTTGACCCTGGTGGTGGTGAATGGATAGTTGGGTTCTGTCTGACGGGGTGGGGCTTAGCTTGACCCTGGTGGTGGTGAATGGATGGTTGGGATCGGTCTGAAGGGGAGGGGCTTAGCTTGACCCTGGTGGTGGTGAATGGATAGTTGGGTTTGGTCTGAAGGGGAGTGGCTTAGCTTGACCCTGGTGGTGGTGAATGGATGGTTGGGGTCGGTCTGAAGGGGAGTGGCTTAGCTGGACCCTGGTGGTGGTGAATGGATGGTTGGGTTCGGTCTGAAGGGGAGTGGCTTAGCTTGACCCTGGTGGTGGTGAATGGATGGTTGGGGTCGGTCTGAAGGGGAGTGGCTTAGCTTGACCCTGGTGGTGGTGAATGGATGGTTGGGGTCGGTCTGAAGGGGAGTGGCTTAGCTTGACCCTGGTGGTGGTGAATGGATAGTTGGGGTCGGTCTAAAGGGGAGTGGCTTAGCTTGACCCTGGTGGTGGTGAATGGATGGTTGGGTTCGGTCTAAAGGGGAGTGGCTTAGCTTGACCCTGGTGGTGGTGAATGGATGGTTGGGGTCGGTCTGAAGGGGAGTGGCTTAGCTTGACCCTGGTGGTGGTGAATGGATAGTTGGGGTCGGTCTAAAGGGGAGTGGCTTAGCTTGACCCTGGTGGTGGTGAATGGATGGTTGGGTTCGGTCTAAAGGGGAGTGGCTTAGCTTGACCCTGATGGTGGTGAATGGATGGTTGGGGTCGGTCTGAAGGGGAGTGGCTTAGCTTGGCCCTGGTGGTGGTGAATGGATGGTTGGGGTCGGTCTGAAGGGGAGTGGCTTAGCTTGACCCTGGTGGTGGTGAATGGATAGTTGGGTTCTGTCTGACGGGGTGGGGCTTAGCTTGACCCTGGTGGTGGTGAATGGATGGTTGGGGTCGGTCTGAAGGGGAGTGGCTTAGCTTGACCCTGGTGGTGGTGAATGGATAGTTGGGTTCGGTCTGAAGGGGAGGGGCTTAGCTTGACCCTGGTGGTGGTGAATGGATAGTTGGGTTCGGTCTGAAGGGGAGGGGCTTAGCTTGACCCTGGTGGTGGTGAATGGATGGTTGGGTTCGGTCTAAAGGGGAGTAGCTTAGCTTGACCCTGGTGGTGGTGAATGGATGGTTGGGGTCGGTCTGAAGGGGAGTGGCTTAGCTTGACCCTGGTGGTGGTGAATGGATGGTTGGGGTCGGTCTGAAGGGGAGTGGCTTAGCTTGACCCTGGTGGTGGTGAATGGATAGTTGGGTTCTGTCTGACGGGGTGGGAATTAGCTTGACCCTGGTGGTGGTGGTGAATGGATGGTTGGGATCGGTCTGAAGGGGAGGGGCTTAGCTTGACCCTGGTGGTGGTGAATGGATAGTTGGGTTTGGTCTGAAGGGGAGGGGCTTAGCTTGACCCTGGTGGTGGTGAATGGATAGTGGGGGTCGGTCTGAAGGGGAGGGGCTTAGCTTGACTCTGGTGTTGGTGAATGGATAGTTGGGTTCGGTCTGATGGGGAGGGGCTTAACTTGACCCTGGTGGTGGTGAATGGATGGTTGGGGTCGGTCTGAAGGGGAGTGGCTTAGCTTGACCCTGGTGGTGGTGAATGGATAGTTGGGGTCGGTCTGAAGGGGAGTGGCTTAGCTAGACCCTGGTGGTGGTGAATGGATGGTTGGGGTCGGTCTGAAGGGGAGTGGCTTAGCTTGACCCTGGTGGTGGTGAATGGATGGTTGGGGTCGGTCTGAAGGGGAGTGGCTTAGCTTGACCCTGGTTGTGGTGAATGGATGGTTGGGTTCGGTCTAAAGGGGAGTGGCTTAACTTGACCCTGGTGGTGGTGAATGGATGGTTGGGGTCGGTCTGAAGGGGAGGGGCTTAGCTTGACCCTGGTGGTGGTGAATGGATAGTTGGGTTTGGTCTGAAGGGGAGGGGCTTAGCTTGACCCTGGTGGTGGTGAATGGATGGTTGGGGTCGGTCTGAAGGGGAGTGGCTTAGCTTGACCCTGGTGGTGGTGAATGGATGGTTGGGGTCGGTCTGAAGGGGAGTGGCTTAGCTTGACCCTGGTTGTGGTGAATGGATGGTTGGGTTCGGTCTAAAGGGGAGTGGCTTAACTTGACCCTGGTGGTGGTGAATGGATGGTTGGGGTCGGTCTGAAGGGGAGGGGCTTAGCTTGACCCTGGTGGTGGTGAATGGATAGTTGGGTTTGGTCTGAAGGGGAGGGGCTTAGCTTGACCCTGGTGGTGGTGAATGGATAGTGGGGGTCGGTCTGAAGGGGAGGGGCTTAGCTTGACCCTGGTGGTGGTGAATGGATAGTTGGGTTCGGTCTGAAGGGGAGGGGCTTAGCTTGACTCTGGTGTTGGTGAATGGATAGTTGGGTTTGGTCTGATGGGGAGGGGCTTAACTTGACCCTGGTGGTGGTGAATGGATGGTTGGGGTCGGTCTGAAGGGGAGTGTCTTAGCTTGACCCTGGTGGTGGTGAATGGATAGTTGGGGTCGGTCTGAAGGGGAGTGGCTTAGCTAGACCCTGGTGGTGGTGAATGGATGGTTGGGTTCGGTCTGAAGGGGAGTGGCTTAGCTTGACCCTGGTGGTGGTGAATGGATGGTTGGGTTCGGTCTGAAGGGGAGGGGCTTAGCTTGACTCTGGTGTTGGTGAATGGATAGTTGGGTTCGGTCTGATGGGGAGGGGCTTAACTTGACCCTGGTGGTGGTGAATGGATGGTTGGGGTCGGTCTGAAGGGGAGTGGCTTAGCTTGACCCTGGTGGTGGTGAATGGATAGTTGGGGTCGGTCTGAAGGGGAGTGGCTTAGCTAGACCCTGGTGGTGGTGAATGGATGGTTGGGGTCGGTCTGAAGGGGA